ATTTCTCCGACGCAACAACAACGTGTGCGCAGTATAATATATAATAAAGCACTTATACACTTATCTGACGGACGTTTTTCCGCGCCTTTCGCCAATCGACCCGTTGCACGTCAATTCCATTATGTGCGCGTTTGCTACACGAGACACACATCAACGCTTTTTGATAATTTACGTAGCTGTTGTGATGATGGCGTACACAGTGCACTACAGGCTTCACGTATCATACGTTTCATTAAATATGCACACGTGACCGCAAAATTTGCATAAATTATCCATCGTCGTTGCCGCCGCCGCCGGGTCACGAAAATCGGTTTGCGCACTCGAAGTGTGCCTGCGACATGCATTGACAACGTGCCCGTCCACCGCGTGACGTATAAAATAGATTTATACGTGTATAATATGTAAAATTAAATTTCGTCCAGTCATGATTATTTGTGCATAATGATTCTTTTTGAACATTTCGTTCATAGTGAACGCATCATGTATAATTATAATTACGCGCGTAAAATTTCCCTTCCGTGACGAGGTTTTATTAAATTACCATTTCGGAGTTGGAAGATCTTTACATGTGTACGCCTTAAAAACCCGCGAAAATGCTTGTAACTAATATACATATCGAGCCGAGGAACACAGATATGTAGACGTACATCCGTCGTGTATTATTATATTGTAATAAAAAAAAAAAAATTGGAATATAATATTACGTTTCGTTATGCGCGCGCGTACACCTTAAGTAATTTTGCTTTTACGATACGCAAGTTGGGCGTCGCACACGGGGTGGACTGTGCGATGGGAAAAACGCCGTTGCAGCAGCGCCGACGAACAGCTCGTTTGCGGTCCTCTTGCGGTCCTATTTCGAACCGCAACACAGACATCGCACTTGCTGCTCCTTCGTAGCGTATGTTTACGCTCGTGTGTACACATAAATATACACATTACGTGTGCGTATATTATACATGGACGCGCGCGCGTTATGTTGTAATTGTAATTTTTATTCGTGAGAAAACGAGCGGAATACGTGTACAAGCATATTTATATATGAACACAATAATGTGACCGGTTTCAGCGTCTAACCGAGAGTCTATCACTCTATACGTATATATCATTCTGTGCACACAGGACACACTACGACGACTCTTCGTGCGGATAACGCGTATACCTATGTTTATGTACCTACTTCATGCAGTCAATGTAATAACATCGCGTCTTGCGGTCACAGAAACGTATATATTTGTGTTCGAGACGATTTTTCATCGGACCGTGCACACACACACACACGCGCGCGCGCGCGAGTATTAGTAAGAGCATTGATTAAAGTAGGCAATAAACATATGTTATACACCTATATGAGTATGCGCACATGTACTAGAGCGATTCGCGTAAATAATATTACAATTGATATTACCGTCAGACGCGGTTGACTTGGTTGTGTACAGTAATGCACTCCGAAACGCCCAAAGTTATTCGTAGTATGATAGACGAAATTTGAACATCACACGTATACCCACGATCAAGTTCATTTATTCGCATGTATTGTATATGCGTTGCGGCTACGTATCCTGCACGAATAAAGGTTCGCAATGATTTATGTACATGAATACATCCATTATTACGTCCTTCCGTCCAGCTTTACATATTATACATATATATATAAACCATATGATTATACTTATTATATGTGCACTACATATTATAATAATAGCAACGTAATTGTAGTACTTCAAGGTACGAATAACCTTAGGAATACCTGCGCACATAATATTGTGAGAGTTAAGTATAGAATTCTAGATTGAGGGGAGAAATAAAAGTCCCGTAGTTCAGATCTTTTACGGGCTCCGATAATTGACATAATATTTTTATAATTATTATATCTTTTGTATGTGTGTGTAGGTGCCATGTGCCTAATACTATAAAATCTTATCGCGGACATTCTATTGTACAAATATAGGTATAATTAAACGACATAAGAATGGTATTTAATTCAGGTATACTACCTATACACCTTTAATATATATTACACATATACATTTGGTGCTCGTATCTCTATATGCATACCCGCCGTATCCCCCGTTAGGTGTAAGCCGACGCAATCAAAAAAAAAATGGTCGTCGTAATAACGTAATTTTTCTTTTATGAAATATCGTTCGCGGCGTCTTTTTTGTTGTTGTATTTGACAGCAGCAGCAGCAGCAGATGTTTGGCGCGTCGCGTCGTCCTCTTGTATACAACATAAGCTGCCGTGTCCGGGGCCGATGGGAAAAACGACGATTGCGGCAGTTGTGTTTGCGTGTGTGAAGAACAAGAATAAAAAATAAATAATAAAAAAAAAAAAATCATAAGCAATATACTCGTCATATAATAATAATAATAACAATATAATCTTGTATAAAAATATTTCTCGTACCGTATAGGCGGATGATATTTTATGAAAAAAAAAAATCTTTTCAAATCATTATTTCCTCTGCATTTCTTCTTCTCGATCGATGATCACAACGCCATTTTATTCGCCAATACGATCCGACAGGATATTTTCCTTTTGACCCCCGCACTCTCGGTATCATCTACAACGCGAGCGCGTGTATTTTTTTGTGTATTCGTTTCGGCGGCCACGGCGCATGATGTGTCATTGTGTCGTGTCCGTCACGTCGGTGGGTGGAGTGTTGTAGTATATTGTCGCGGCACTGTGGGCGGGGCGTCGATCGGCGGTTGACACGCGGCTTACGACACGAACGGGGCCGACCAATGGGGACGCGTCGCCGCCTGTGACAGTGGTGCGGCGCACGCGGTGACGGCCGTTCGGGGACAGACGACACGGCGACGCATAAAACACGAACAGGACGCGGAGGAAAAGGAAAAACACCCTCGTCCATGATGTACGTAGTGCAGTGTTCTCCCCGCGAGCGCTGCAGCTGCACCGTTTATTATATCCGCAGATTATTAGTAATAATAATAATAATACTAAAATGGATCGTCGGATCACGGATCACGTACAATAATGTAATGTAGAAAACGCTTCTTTTTTTTTTTTTTTTTTTCTAAAGGGGTCTCGTTTGTATATAAACGTGCAGCGTGTGTACTTGTACGCATCGTATTATGTTCCAGTCCCTTTGCACCGAGCAAGATATATAATATACTCCCCACGGCCGTCCATCCGCCCGCCCTCCTAACACCCGCCACGTCACCATTAGCGTATTGTACGCGATGTAGTCGTCGCGTCATCGCTCGCGCATCGTCGACGACCTTAAAGTGCGCATACATACATACATACATATACATGTATACGCGCGCGCCACTCTGTAGAATATTATTATTATTATTTACGTTTTTAACAATGACGAGCCGAATATAATGACTGTACCCTCCCCTCACGCGCCGTCCCACCGTTGCCGCGCGCACACTTTACCGTCGCTGTGTACGCGGACCGAGAGACCGAGCACAATGCGCGCTTAATACGGCCGTACGCGCGGGCCCAGAAGTTTTCAAACTCATCGCGCTCGGTGTATACATCGTACACGGCGCACACGGATGACAGGCTTCGTAACAGAGAAATACGCGTTTAATCACCGACTGCTGCTGCTGCTGCTGCTGCACTTGAAACGAAGGCGACCGCGTACAGTCCGATTCCCTTGTATTCCATTATGTATTAATGCGTGCGCGTGTACACGGGTAACGTATATATTGTTATATAACGTGATACTCTAAAACACCGTGAATCTCTATGTACAGTGGCAGGAACGTTCGTTGTACAAAACACACGTCCCCGCGGCCGGCTCGATCGTTTTCCGTTACGCGTTCGTTTATTGTTAACGCGTTACACGTTTATTCGTTATGTGCGCGCCGAAGGTTCTCTCCAAAAGTCCGTTCGGGCGACATATCATAAAACGTTTACTGTTAACGCATTACGCAGTATATCCGCATTGGGGAGGTTCTTCAAAAGTGTCCGGTCCCCGGCCGACACGAAACGTTTGTTTTTCTTTTCGATATTGTCCTCGCGGTGCTAGTGTGATGGGACTCCTCCGTATCGTTCGACGTTTCGTTGGGTAATATTTTTATTCATACTTTTGTACGTAATATTCGTATTCAGTGTTCCGTGACGTATCGCGTGTACCGTAGTGCGAACCGCCGTAAACCGTTTTCGAAGCGAGTCTCCGCATTGTGACGACGGCCATTTTGATAAAATATAATGTGATTTATCTGCAGTCGACCGGAAAAAAATATATCTTTTTGTTGAGATTTATGCGAAGGAAAATCTATTATGCAACAATAAGGTAAAATCGCGCGTCCCGTATGATCTTTTCGAGTTTTAACAATGAGTAGGTTTGGACAGCTATGTAATACGTACATAAAACAGGAAATACGATTGGAATATTATTCAATTGATAATTCATTTTTTTTTATTATTTTTATTATTATTATTGGTTTGCTGATGCTGCGGCGCTTCATTCCAGTCGAATTGATTTTGGGACCAAACACAATCTAACGGTCGAGCGAACCAAAATACGCAATGTATATATGATAGGTTGTCAAATTAAAAAAAAAAAAAAATCCATTGTTAGCGTTAGTCGAAACGCCACCGCCATCGAGAAAAATGAATCATATATATATTTATATTATTATATTTAATAACTGGAGCCCATTGTGGAAGCGATGCGCTGAATAGGTCAGGTAGAAAATTATGTCTAGTCCCTTTTTTTTTTTTTCATAAACCAGCTTGTATATATATATAAATGGGTAATATACTGCAACGGAGCAAAGCGCGTTCATCATCAATCCCACGGGTTTCATTTATTATTATATTGTGTGGGTAATGATCGAGAGAATCCTGTGTGTAGAGGGATCCTTACCGTCATCATCACCGGCTATACAGCGTATTTTATATCGACGGTACCCAAATGATGGTTTATACCCACTATGCGCTCTATATATATATTTTAACGATTAATGTGACCAAATGTGTATAGAACGTATTTTTAACGAGTATATTTGGTTTTCTTTTCACAGCCTTAGACAAGTTGGGATTCGGTGGAGTCGCTTTGGGAAACGGAGCTGTGGAGCCAATCCAGCCAAATGTGGCTTTCGACATCGCCAGTTTGGTGCTATACGGTTGTCAGGCTCTGCCTATAAGGCTCAAGATTTTGTTGGACCGATTGTTCAGTGTACTTCGGCAAGACGAAGTGTCAGCCGTACTCAGAGGGTTCGGATGGACACACGAAGACTACGCCAGGGGTTATATACTTCAGGTAATGCATTGGTCGTAATAAATATTTATATACGAACGGGAAAAATTCACAATGTTGTGAACGGTGAAAGGGTTAAACACACAAAAACGCATCGATAGGTTCCTAATGAACAAGTGAAACGACCCTGTTTTCTTTGTTTGTTTTTGGGGTCGTCCATTGCCGTGGAAATGTACGTGACGTGAGAGTCATGTGAAGGGCTCGGGAAAAACAAACCATCCCGAAAGGGTTGCAATAATTTTATGTAATATACAACTCGTCTGCGTTAGTTGACTTTCTATTTGTGTTGGTGTGTGTGTGTGTTGCTGAGTAATGGATGATTGAATTACATACACACACGCGTACTTTTAAAAGTCCCTAGGGCAGCTTGTCTTGCGAGCATAGTGGTAGAGTCTGTTATTTTGTTAACTATTGTTTTCTCCAATGCGGCCGTCGTCGTTTTACGGTCGCGAGCCTAAGGCTGACGTTAATATACCGACTCGAGAACAGGGCCCCCCTGGGACTGACGATTGGCACGAAATATAAAAACAACTACGTTTTACACTATATCAATTTATGAAGTATATAGGTGCTTGGGGCTATTGTTTTATCGAGATACGTGAGACTATTCCGCCAACACAACCGTTTCCCAATTTGTATTTTTACAGAAAATTAACGTGTATGTCATTTGTATCGTTACAGGAACCACTTGGTGGCGGAATTTTAGAACGTTGGAACATATGTAGTCCGGAAGAAGAGCCACTAGTGCTGCAACAGTTTTTAAGATTCGGTGAAACCCGAGCGGTTACGCAGCAGTTGCTTTTGCACGGCCTGGGCGCTGACTTTCGGGCTTTGCCAGCCCTAGAGACAGACATGAAACGGTTAATGGAACGTCAAAAACAGCAGTTGAGCAACGACCACAAATCTGGTTATGAAATGAAATTCCGGCCACGAACTCCTCCTCAGTCAATACCACCACTACCTCTAACGCAGCTTTCACAACGCCGGCCGGTTGGAAGTTGTCCACCGTCGCCGCCAAGACCCTCGTTTGGGTTTGTTAAGCCACCTAGTGGACTTCCACAGCTACAACCGCCGCCACCTCCTAGTAATGCATGCAACGGAGCTGGCTCTCCGCCGGTGAGCAGCCCCACCAGCAGCGTATCGCCACTCAACAAACTTCAAAACATGCAACCTTTCGATTTTCGTAAGATGCAATCGGCAGCCGCTGGGTTTGTCGGTAACAAGCCTTTGTCAACCTCTTCAGATCGACGATCTAACAACTCTTCGTCGGACCTCTTACCTCCTCCTCCGCGTCCTAGCCAACAACAACAGCAGCAGCAGCAGCAGCAACAGCAACAACAACAACAACAACAGCAACAACAACAACAACAACAACAACAACAACCACAGCAGCAGCAACAACAACAAAACGACTTCAACAACAAGTTCGGACCGCCCGATAGCTTAGCTGGCAGTAGTGAATTCGGGTCGGAAGATGGTGACGAGGAAGAGGAAAACTCGCAAAGTGCGCTGAACCTGAGCAAAGACAGCGCTCCTAAAGCGTTACGACCCCATCGAGGCCACGTGCGAAAGACTCCGCTGCCGCTCAAAAGGCAATGGGGTTCGGCTGGACTTCCGTTGAATTTGGGCACACAACTTATCAATCCGGCCACTGGGAAGAAGCGGGTGCAATGCAACGTGTGCCTGAAGACTTTCTGTGACAAGGGAGCACTGAAGATACACTTTTCCGCCGTCCACCTACGTGAAATGCACAAATGCACGGTGGAAGGGTGCAACATGATGTTCAGCTCAAGAAGGTCGCGCAACCGGCACAGCGCCAACCCCAACCCTAAGCTGCATTCGCCGCACCTGCGCCGGAAGATCTCACCGCACGACGGCCGCAGCTCGCAAGCACACCATCCTATGGTCATCACGCCACTACAGGCTTCCGCCATGAACCAACTAGCGTTCGGTGCGTTCCCTCTGTTGACCGGTGGCACGGATATGCGAGCGGTCGGCTCGAAACACAGCTCCGCGTCCGGGCTGCACCTAGCCGAAGAGCTGCGCCGGTCCGCGGAATTCTCGTCGGACAACATGGACGAGTACATGGACGACGAGGAAGACGGCATTGTAGTGGATGGGAACGCGGTGGATGACGACGAGGACGATTCGGAACATCGGAGTGACCGGAGCTGCAAACGCATGTCCGAGGAATCGGAAGACGATGCTGGCAGCACGGTGGTCGAAGCGCAACACCACCATCACAACAACAACAACAACGAGAATAACAACAACGACAACAACAACGATCGGCCGCCCGTGGTGGCCATCAAGAACGTGCATAAACGCAAGAGCATGAACCCGACTAGATTCGCTGCCGCGGCCGACCTGAGCGACGAGGGTATGTCGTGCACGGACGACGGTTCCGCCGCTTCGCCCAAGGACAACAACAACGAAGTGGTGGCTGCTTCCGAGAAGCGGAGTGCGGACGAGGACGACGGGTGCTTGAATCTGAGTAGGAAACGGTCATCGTCCAGCCCCGTAGCGGTCGGCGACAGGCGTTCAGCAAGCGGTGGTGATGGAGGCGGCGGTACAGGCAGCGGGTCCAGAGACTCGCTATTGTCGGAAGAAGACGACGGGCTGCTGGAGGAAGAGGACGCGGACGACGATCTTGATGACTTGGATCTGGATGACGAAGATGAAGACGACTTGGACGATTGCGATTCGGACAGCGACGGGAATCATCGAGTGTACGGCATTGTCGAGAACGGTCGGTTCGTCAAAATGGACGAAGTGCCCGTGGACAAGGATAATCCTCACGCATGCGCAGCGTGCGGCAAGACATTCCCCAACCACTTTGGCGTCAAGGCGCACTACCAGAACGTGCACATGAAAATCATGCACAAGTGCGTGGTAGACGGCTGCAACGCCACGTTCCCGTCCAAACGCAGCCGGGATCGGCACAGCTCCAACCTGAACCTGCACCGGAAACTGCTGTCAACGTCGTCACCCTCCACGTCCACGGAACCGTCCGGGCAACAACAACAACAACAGCAGCAGCAGCAACCGGCCGCTGCGCCCACGCAGAAGCCACACCATCCTCCGCCGGTGCCGCAGCCGCAGCCGCAGCAAGGTCCTCCGCCGCCGCCACCGTCGTCGGCTAACCTGATGGCCGCGGTCGCGGACAGCCCGTACATGCACGCCGAGTTCCTGGCTCGGCTGTACGCGGACTCGCAGCAGTTCCAGGCGCTGGCCGGCGGCAACGGGCTGATGCAGGTCCCGCCGCAGTTCGCGGCCGGCGCAGTCGGCTCGCCGTTCCGGCACCTGCCTGCCGCGGCTGCTATGGCCATGGCCGCGGCCGCGGTCAACGGCGGCGGCGGCCGGCTGGTGTACTCGGCCGACGAGGACCTGCCGCCAGTGCCGGACAAGGAGAATGGCATGTACGCGTGCCGGTTCTGCGGTAAATCGTTCCCGGACAAGAACGGTATGCGCGAGCACTACGAGCAGCTGCACATGCACGAGATGCACAGGTGTAAGGTGCCCGGCTGCGGCATGGTGTTCAGCTCGCGGACCAAGCGCAACGCGCACGCGGAGAACAGTCACCGACCGTCGCTGTCCGGGACCGGCGTGCAAGCAGCCGCTACCTCGTGACCTCGAGCCCATCGTCATCAGCAGCACCACCATCATCATCACCACCACGGACCGCAGCGATTTCCCGTGCCGCCGCCGTGGTGGTGGTAATGACTACTGCCGTGCGCACGGGCCAACCGTCGGCTAACTCTTCTCCCGTCGAACACCGACATTACCGTTCGTCGTGCATTATTGTAATATTATATATCATTATTATTATTATTATGAATATTATTATTATCATCATCATCATCATCATCATCATCATCGAACGCAGTCGTCCCACCCTCTGTCTACCGAAGCATATCCCATCGTCGTCCCTCTACCCCGCAGTAATGGGTGCGTTTAGCGTGCGCTAGAAAATTCGCAGACCGGTAACGTGTTGAGTGTACTGCAATTGTTGTACTTTCAAATATCCGGGCTTACTGCATACACCACCACTACTACTACTACTACTACCCCTACCTTCGGCCTACCCCCTAGCGCACACGGTTTTTTGTTTTTTTTTTTTCGTTTTTTTTTTTGAACTTTCGTTTTGGTGCTTATACCGATTACGTTTTATATTGTACATTTATATATGTACGTATTATATATGTATTGTCAATCGGTATGTGTGTACGTACGTGAATATTATCTACACGTCCAACAACCGCCTCCCTAGCCCTCTACACTCTTCCCGTTCGTTTTACGAAGCCAATTTTTATTATATATACGTATACGATACACGAAAATATGTGATTCATTTTTGTTAATGTATTTATTATTATTATTATTATTATTATTATTATTATTATTACGATAGATATTATTATAGACGATTTTATTGTCGGTTCTTTTATCGGCGTCGTAGTGTATATTTATAATATATTAAATCGATGGGATGTATAATATATAATAACTATATTTATCATTTAGTAAATTAGTAGAGAAAACCACGCGTAAATAATACGAACTATTAATTTTAATATATATACCTATTAATTGTGTTTTTTTTTTACATAAGTTGTGTTTAAATATATTTATGTATAATATGTATTCTTATATTTATATATGTATACTTACGTCTGCATTATGATGAATCTAGTAAAATATTCTCATGTAAATATATGCGTAGGAATAAATTAGTAGTTTTTTTTTAGATACGTTATTTGTACGGCAAGTTATAACAAAAGTTTATAGTGAGTTTTTAAAAATATTATTACTGTAAATAAAATATGTTTCTCGTTTTTTTTTTTGCGCGTTATACGTTGCGCAATCGTCGTGTCGTGCGTGTAAATATATTATATAAAGCACGTCATAGACATATTATATATATATTTATATATTTGACAAAAAAATTGTAAGTTATACATACGTAATATATTGTTTTGTGTATGACACGCGTGAGCATCTCTCTCGACTTAATCAAAAAGAAAAATTTTAAATAAAATAAAAAAATTTAAACTAAAAAAAATAAAGGTTCTGTTCTATAAGACATTTGAAAATATTTACTAGTCCTTATCTATTAGAGTGTATTTTGTAGGCACGGCAATATTATTGTAATATTATACTGTATATGTTTAAAAATATGTACTATTATATTGTGCGTACATGTACGTTTTTGTGCAGTAATCGACAAATATATATATTATTATTATTATTATTATTATTATTATTATTATTATTATACATAAATGTTTTTTTTTCTATCCGTAATATATAAACGACTATTAGCCTACAAAACATATGCGTTTAAACATATATTTTATGAATACATGTATACGTGTGTAAAATTAGTCCTTGTCTTTCCGTTTTTGCTCAAACACTGGTGTTAAAAAAATACTGAGCATACGCAAACGTACCGGTATGTAGATCGGTGGTTCGAATTATTTTCGATGAGACCATTAAGATATTAAAAAATATCCCTACCCGTCAAAAGCATGTATGCCAAGCCTAACGTAAAATCCGCATTATCGGGTTATCGCAACCCGATCGGGCCGATTTTCGGAACCGCAATGATGGATATATGTATTACGTAGAGAAACATTTTTTTTTTTAATTTTTGTCTCCACTCGTGTAAAAATGGTTCGTTTCGCAGAAGATAATCGAGAGTACACCGTGTCAATATAACTTGAAGAAACAATAATAATAATTATAATAAGAGGTTTTACGTAATAAGTGCATAAAAAAAAAAAAAAAAAAATGAAAAAATAACCCACTCTTTTCTCCTCAAAAAATCCTATTTTATCTCTTTGGGGATCTACCCCCCAGGTGGGGATCCGATGGTGTACATAATTACCATATGTATTGGTATGATAAAATCAAAGTCCATCAATGATTAAGTTACCGTGTGCGACTACATTCAATGAACATTTCTACGGGACGGGGGAGGGGGGGGGGGGCGGATTTGTAAATATTTTATTCCGTTGTGACAACAGTACTAGCCACCTTGTCCGTCGGTTTGTATCGGAGCGATTTTGTGTTGTGGCCGATCCGTCGGTGATGATCTTTATGTTTTCATATTGAACAAAATAATTGTTGTCCATTCGCCCCTTTGGACTTTCGATCAAAGCTCGTATGTACATAAAGAATCTGCGCAAAAGCGTTTGCATCCCCGCACTCGAGAAATACACGCTTCCGTGTTCTATGCAAATTAATAAAAGTAAAAAACCCTTAAAACATTTTCAATATAATATGCCTTCGCGAGTTCCATGTGTTTTCCAGTTATGTCACGATTCGAATTCCTGGAAATCCACCCAAATGCGTGAAAAACAAATGTAATGTAAAAGTAAACTGTAAATTGTTAAAAAAAAATTTGTATAAGATAATATCTATTTATAGTACCTAGTTATTTATCTGTGCAACGAAAAAAAAAAAAACGATTATTTTTGTTACCCCCGCTCCCCGAGCAAGATTGAATGTACGCCACTGGTTCTACCTGTCAAAGTCGTTATAATATTTTATGGCTGTTACTAATACCGTGGACCGTTAACGTTGATCGTTTTCTCGAGCAGGAATTTAAATCGCTATGCACTCACATCTGACACCGATAGAAAATTCGGTGACCACTGCAGGTGAATTATTATCTGTATGATAACGGTAGTGTCCGTAGACACGAGCACATTGCAAGATCGTACATTGTTATTACAGCGTGTACAGAGTGTTTGGAACGTTTCGTTTTGATCGAGTGAAACGAGTCAGCCGTTTCCGTTGTACACAAACGCTTGATACATCTGAGTAACATTAAGCACTTCGGGAAATTGTAAATAAATAAGAATAGAAACTGGATAGAACAATGGATAATTCCGTCACAGCTCGTTTTATGATATGCAGGTAAGAGCAACGATTACAGTATAAAATTTGATCATAAATATAACACTAAATACTAAATTTTTAAATAAAAATTTTTAATGATCAATGATTAGGGATGGTAATTTTTTTGTGAACATCGGTGTATCAATTTATTTATTACGAAACATCGATGGTGTCAATAACGACAAATTAAAAAACATCGAAGTCAAGAACTCCATGGATTTAGAAAAACATCGATGTTTTTAAAGAAAAACAAACATAAATTTTATAGGACAAAAATGATTATTCTTTGCCATAACCCTCAAGCAAAATTAATTATAAACATTTAAAATTTAAATGTACAGAATCAACTCAATTTATTTAATTATTTATTAGAAAGATTAAAAAAAAAAAACATTGTGTAAAAAATTTGAATTAAATTAATACAGTTCACTGTCAAATATAATCACATAAAATCCGTAAGTTATAACAAAGTTTTTTACATATTATTTTAAATTGAAACCATTTAAAGCCAAAATTGATCGGCCAAGTTGTTTAAAAAAATCTATTTTGATGCCTATTTTGCACATAACCGGTTTAATTTATTTTTGGGAAACATTTTAGTTTATTTCTATAATTAGGTATTATAGAAATACAAGACTATTATATTATTTTTCTAGCGATAAGACAATATTATTATGAATTAAAATCAAGAAACAATCATCCTGACTTATTTTATTAACCAAGTTAATATTATAATATAATTATACGTATATCTATATTTTATTGTTTGCAAATGAAAAATTTTTAAAATATTTTGTGTAATATCCTTGAACATCGGAGATAAAGTAAACATCAAAATTAAAACATCGGCAAACTTTAACACATCAATGCAAAATATCGAAACTTAACCAACAATGTTGAACATCGATTTTTTTAGCTTAAAACATCAATGTTTTTTAACATCCCTATCGATGGTCGATGATCAATTTTCAGATGTAATAATAAACATACATCAATACACTTATATTTTTATTAAATTTATATTTTGGAACGCAGCGACCAATTTTTATTTTTATAGATGGGTGTTAGATATTCTTGCTTTACTTCGCCCCATAAAGGCGCAATTCGAGGTTACAATTTTGGGGGGTTTAAGATCAAAGATAGTGTACCGCAGAGGATATTTCCCTACAACCCATCTACCATTTAATATACAAATAACATTTGTCACTGTTCACTACTATAGGTTCAGTTCAAATACTAATAAGGAAATGGAAAAATGTGATTTTGTGAATCAAACTTGATTTTGGATATTTCTAGACAAAGGGAAAGCCATAATTCACTGAGTAACAAAAATTGTCAAACATAACAATTATTTCGTGTATTGAGATTACAGATATATGTTAGAATCTAACAGTTAGATGATTAGATTTTATTTAAATCTCGTACACGAAATTTTGAAATTGATTTTTTTTAATCAGGAAGGGCAATGCAAATGTTTAAGGGAGCTAAGTCCTCCAAGCTTTTTAAGTACTTTTTTTTCGGTTTGAACCGACGCCTACGGGGGAACGGGTTGTCCCAGTATTTCCCCAAAAACGCTTTCCACTCTAACCTTTCCACTTCACACTATCGCGTGTACCTGCGTTTCGATGAAATATTATTATCTCATTGGTATCATATTTCGGGAAAAGTCGGTAGAACAGGCGCGTTATCTGTAGTGATTTTTCTTGAAATTCTGCTTCTTTGAGCATTTCACGAATAATAAATATTATTATTCAAGATCAATTGTCGCTGCATCACGTCTATCACGATGAAGATTTTTTGAAAACAACTTGAAAAACTTACGTGTGTACTAAATTAAGGTCGCGAGCACTATGACAGGATTTCAGTAAACGCAATTTGATCGATAAAACGAAAATGACTGCGTCAAGACGCATCATGCAGAGAAAACGATTGTATATTGCGTCTAGACCGCCTCTTAAATCTGCGTCTGGACGCTGCAGGGAAAACGTACCTTAACCGTATTCTGTTGTCGTTATGCCGCGAAACGCCGCAAATCGAACGTGCGAACACACCTACGAATAATGCGTTTAATTTGTACAACGAGTGCGATCAACAGTTACATCATTTGACGCGACTCGGTCAGTGCAGAACTATGTACGGCGGATTATCGTTGTGTACGCGTTTAATATGTTCAGTAGGTTCTGATCTCTTCACGCGGGCACCGGCACGTAGTTTTTTTTACGCGTCACTTTTTTTTTTCTTTCCTTCTCTCGCTGACATGCTACGCGCCAAAGCTGAACACGCATACGGTTTTTTATTTTCAAAACCGAGCACAACAATAAAACCGCGGTATATAATGATAACAGTACAACACACTTAACGGATTCATTAAAACCTACAATGGCCGTGTTTTTTTTTTTCTCCTTTCTGTAAAACTGGTTTTCGTCCGCTGTGCACATAATACACACGATAATGCTGTGATATAATATACACATAAAACACGAAATCGGCACGTCGTAAATAATAAGTTTATTCATAATAAATTCGAAGAAAACGCCGTGATGTACAGGTAGGTGCATATGCGCGTACCAAATGAATGGTAAACAAAATTACTTGTAAATCATTCTCGAGTCGGTCGTATGTACACCTATAAAGGTACATTTTAATGGCGTTCATTATGTATACACTGCACAGTATACGTATTTATTTATTTTCGTTCAACTGGAAACAAAAAAATAAAACTGAAATGCACTTTTAACCACGGACCGTGATCGCGGTGTGTGACATTTATGTTAACGAATTATTGCGTACACGTTTGCAGCGCCTATAAAGTCTAACCTTTAATACGCTTACGGTTCTAGAACGTTGTAATAGTAATATTATTGCCATTATTTTTCGTTTCGTTTTATTCTACTGCACTTCACGGTCAGGTAGTCCGTCCCTAGGGCAGAGCGATCGGGGCCTTCGCCCCGAACCCCGCGATCAGCCCTGAATTTACAGGTTCCTCGTTTTCATAAATAATTTTCTAACTATAAAAGCAGGGCTTGAAACCGAAAAGATAAATTTTGGTTTAGATTTTGATTTTATTAGTTTCTATTTCAGTTACACATAACGGTTTAAACTTTTTCCGGTTTCCATTCGAGTTTCTAATACCGATTTCAATTTTGGTTATCAATACCGGTTTTTACCATTCCAGATT